TATGAAATAGATAATAAATATATATATAATATCATTCTGTGAAAATATTGAATATTTTTAATTAGACAGATCATGAAGTAAAGATATTTACATTATTTAAATCAATCCGATTCAAATATGGCCTAACTCTTTAAGTCAGGTCCCGATTCATTCGTTAAGAAGCTGAAGAGTTAAATCAAACAAAGCGTATCATTGCCTTACTTAACAGCAAGTTAAAATTCAATGAGTGAATTAACAGCAAGACAATATTCTTTTACTAAAATTGCAGAAGCCTCAAGAGGAGGTGGATTAATTAATGGCTTTTCAGTATATGTATTTCTAGAAAGTTTTAGTCACAGAAGAAAACATTTGAAACAAAATTTGTTAGAATTATAGCATTTTCCCTGTGTACTTTGCGATATAAGTGCACGTCCAACGCCTTAGTTGCTGAAGAATCCTTCTTTCAAATTCCGATATGGACACAGTTAATGTCCCGTTTCTTACTTCGGAAGCCAGTAATTTGTATAATTACCACCGAATGAAAATGTGACGGAACAGAATTCCTCATCTTCTGGATCTTCATTCGCCCTTTAAGTGGAAAAGCATGCAACCATTTGCCGTAATGTTGTCATGTTAGCAACTAGAAAATCCCTGGTTCAAATATGAAGAAGGACGCAGTTGTGGTCCAGTTATTAAGACCGCTGAATACTAAGAGTTTGACCTGGGTTTGATCGCAGGCGAACTTCCCGGCTACAAGGCTGCTTTTCGTGTTTTTACATATGTGGTACGAGCCAGTTTTCTTTTGAAAATCCTCAACAAAGGCATCCCTCCCTTAAGGCAGACAGCCCTTCTGCCCTTTGCTGTATTTAAATAACCTAATGTAACCACTTGTAAAGGAGCGCACATGTATCATTTTATTTGTGACCATTGCTTCCCATGAAACAACAGCACCTTGGCTTCGTATAAATACATATCCATTTGTCAAGAGGTACCACACTATTTTATGCACTCACTAGGATTTTCACCACATAGGTTCATGGCGCAAGAACGGTGCTTTTTAATTAGACGTCAACTCTTATTTCAGATTTCATAATCACAGTGTTCATGATACTCCATATCCAAACGGATAAACTTATACCCTGTCTCTTCCAGATAAAATTTGTTGCTAGATTTTGCTGTTGCTCATCTTCTAGCACTGGTATATCTTTGGAATAAAGTCTGTCATAGTTCTTCTCGAGATTTGTTGGGAAAACTCATTCTATTAAGTTTGCTGGAGCAGGTGACGTGAAAAATTTGCAAAGCTTTCTCCGAAACTCAAACTGTGGACTTCTCAATTGCTAACCAGACGTGCTTTCCACTTACATCCAGAAGGCAAACGGTAAAGAAGACGAAAAATTTTATCCTCCACTTAGAAGTCGACTGGGGAGGACAGGACCACTCACCAAATACTGTCGGTGAAGAATTATCGTCCACCGCCTTTTAGTTTGGACGGCACTTGTAGAATCGTTAGGATAAGTCCAACAGGAAATGTGAGAAATCAGCAATGCCCTCGTCGGAATTCGAACTCTAAACCTCCCGACTCCCAACCGGCCATGCTTTCCAATTATGCTATGAAAGTGCATGGTATAGAGGAGAAAAATCTTACACTTTTGAATTCATTGAAAGGAAGACTTTCTAATTATTAATTATTTTGATGAATTGCATAAGGTAGCACGAAGAAACTAACACGAAGAAAGGAGCTCTACTCTGTTGATCATCAGGTATATTCCTCATATGAATCCTTCTCTAAATTTGTAGGGTCCCAGGTCCGACTTGAGAAGTAGAGAACCTGGAGGAGGGGCGGGAGGGGATATGGAGAATGGTGAATTAAGATGCTTGCTCCTGTGATAGTGACAGTTCCTGTGATCCTTTCTAGAACAAAATTCATCTCAGTATGTTTATTATTTCATTTCAGAGTGGACTCATTCTTATAGGTATTTGTCGTATTAACACTACAAATTTAAATTTAGTAGAATTCTGCAATATAATTATCCTTTTCTTCTCCGGTTGATATGCTTTATCATTTCTTTTTAAGTTATGCTGATTTTTTCCCCTTACCTCTACGCTAGAGGGGAATAGAGAGCTCAAAGCAAAATTATTTTACCAGGTATATCTCTCAAAACTTCTACCTGTCCTAAGACAGAATTAAAATACACTGTTACTAAGTAAAATCGTTGAAGTAATCCTAAAGGAGATAATGACAATTGAACTAAAACTAAATTAATAGATTCTTATCTATTAATTTAGTTAATATAATTAATAGATGAGAATCTATCAATTTAGTTTTAGCTCAATTGATAGATTATTGAGTTTTATTTAAGTTTAATATTCATTAAGCAAATAATATTTATTAAGTTTTAATGTTTATTAAGCAATCTAATTTAGTTTATCTTACTAATCTTAGATCAAATCTAATATCCTAAATCCTGTTGCAGTAACAAGAATAAAGCGGAATTTTGTTAAGCTGTTGTAAGAAACAGAAAGAACGCGAGGGAGAAAATGGCATACATTTTAACGTTTATTCCGTCATTTCCTTTTGCATATTATCTCTTGCCATTTTATCTAAATGAACATATAAGTGGCTGGCAGTAAAAATCACGGGAAATAACATAGCTTGACAATGGGTTTTATACTTGACAATGAAATCGGCTGGTTGCCTGGGTTATTTTCCCGAAACTTTACCAGTGGTATCTATATATGTCAAACGATAACATATTATCTGTTACTTTTCCTTTGGGCATGCATCTGGTCGCAAAATATCCACACAAAGAAATTTTCAACTGCATGTTTACTTTGGACAATATCAAAGAAACTATAAGAGTCATAAATCAACTTAAAGCATTATCTCCCTTATCTATTAATAGTTTCACTTCATAGTTATTCGATGGATGAGGAGTATGATATTTTGATTGTCCATTTGAAGAAGAAAATTGGTAGGATGGTTTACGGAGGGACATAATCACTCTTATATAAAATATAAGAGTGACTTATATAAAAGAAACAAGCAACTGTCACGAATGCACATCATGTTAGGAAATAGGTGATTATTAATTATTTAAGTACGCTTAGTACTATTACATACTCAAAATCAAAATTTCTGCTGTACTGTTTCAGTAATGCATCTGTGAATAATATTAAACTTTTCGGGCGAAGAGTTGTAAGGTTCCTTTATGTTAGTTTAACCAATTATTGTGAGTTAGATCTTTACTGTCACTTCTCCTTTCCGTTCTCTGCCAGAATGCAAATTATTTCGAGAAATTCCCTCACGCGTAACGTGTATACGAGGCAGTTTTCTAGGCAGATAGCCTCCGGATGCTTTGCCATAATCAGATCAACCAAAAACATTTACTCTGAGCTCTAAAGGTCGTTTTTTAAGGTCTTTGAAATCTACTAGATATAGGAATGCAGTGCGAGATTGAATCTCTAGCAGGCCCCAGATAAAATTTAAATAAGGAATCCCTTTTACAAAAGTTGCTTGTAATAAAATCTTAAATTATGTCATTTATTTTTTTCATTAATAAGAGAAACACCAACACTAATGCAATAAAACTTGTAAAATAAAATAGTTCCTTGCATAAAAAACATATATACATAAAAATGTACATAATTACAATCATTACAATCAGTCTTTCACATTAGTCTTGAAAAAAATCTAAATTTTTCGTTTTTAGATTTTCATTGCAGAAAATTTATCAATAAACTTAGCAATCTTAGATGTTCAAATTTTCCTTTTCATTCACCAAGTACTGCTAACGAACGACCTTAGCCTTTCCTGGCGTGCCGAATTTTTTAAGCAATTTAAAATACTTTTAACCCAGAGAAAAATTTTCTCTTTTGTTACATTACGCATAGGCATAATTAAATTAAAACGAAATTTCAATATTAGGACAAGGAAATGCAATCTTGTTATTTTCTATGAACTATTACGTATTACTCAAGCTTCTCAAATTTTGTTTAAGCTCTAATGAAACAATTTCCTGTCAGCTCACTTGTTATAATAGCAACTGTAGCTACTAAAGGACAAAGAGCTCAAAAGGACAACAGTGAAAATATAAGTATACTATGCAGATTTGGAAAAATCGCGTATAAATAATTTACGTATAATATATATATATACTAGTAGTACAGCACTAGCACTGAGTTTTATAATATATATACTAGTAGTACAGCACTAGCACTGGTTTAGTGATATATCAATGAATATGATGGCGTTTACTTGTACTACTTACAAATAATAACATAATTATCAAACTACTAAAGATTTCAGAAGTCAAACAACAAAAATCAGCGTTATATTTGCAAAATTTTCACAGGACTAGTTTCGATGGTTTTACCGAACCACCATCTTCAGCTGCAAAACCGCAAATGAGCGGTTAAACTAATATTAATAGATAAGGGAGATAACTTAAAGCATTATCTCCCTTATCTATTAATAGTTTCACTTCATAGTTATTCGATGGATGAGGAGTATGAATTTGATTTCCATTGAAGAAGAAAATGGTGGATGGTTTACGGAGGGACATAATCTCTCTATATAAAATATAAGAGTATCATTGCGGTTTGCAGCTGAAGATGGTGTTCGGTAAAACATCGAAACAGTCTGTAAAATTTTGCAAATATAACGCTGATTTTTGGTGTTTGACTTCTGAATTAGTATTTATTCGGCGTGTTATTGTGTCTTAATTACTAAATATTCATTAAAAAATATTTGTAGCGTTTATAAGATATTTCTCCCTCCTTTCCGCATGTGGTGTAACTGAAAGCATACTCGATGCGTATCCGAGAGGTCTAAGGTTCGAGTCCCGGTGAGGGCATCGCATATTTTTTACTTCTCAAACCTAATGACTTTACAAGTGGCGCCTAAACTAAAAGGCGGTGAAAGATAATTCATCATTACCAGAATTTGACGATTGCGCCGGCTAATTCCCAGTCACCCTTTAAAAGGGGGAATATATAAGGTAATTTCTGCTTTCTTTCCGCATGCCTTCGTGGTGTAACTGGAAGCACTCTCGACTAGTATTCGGGAAGTCTGAGTTCGAATCCCGGCGAGGGCATTGAGGGTTTCTTCAGATTCTTGACATAAAAAAAAAAATAAAAATAAAATAAAAATAAAAAATAAAAAAATCTGAAATGTTTTCAGATTTTAAATTACGTCCAAAGGGGCGTTTTTTAACATTTTGTGTGTACCTTTCTTTATTAAATATCATGTTCCTCGCACTTAAAAACCATAAGATCCAGTGCAACTTGCAACAGCAATATCGCAAAATAGTTTTTAAAACGAGCATATCTTTAGAATTTCCGATACAGAGACTCACGCGCTGGAGATAAAAATGTTTTTTCTGCACAACGTTGCCATTGCTCGCTTTGAAATCCTTGAGTTTGTTAATCAAAAATTCGTCAAAGTTTTAAAAAATAGGAAATCGATCATAAAACAAATTTCAAATTTCAAATTTGGTCTTCCACATGCTCATATTCGTTGGAGGATTACGTTATTCAAAATTCGATGACTCTATGTACCGTTATTTTATGACAATGTGAGAAATATACATACATTTACGCAGATTTTCATTATTTAATTTCTTCAAATATAATGCAGGACTCTAACATTTTATGGCAACAGTTTGAAAAGTGAACCGACATTTATCCGTCCGACGCAAAATGCCAAAACAAAACTAATAGTCCTTCGGGATTCAAATCCCTTTGGACTAATAAATAAATAAATAAAATAATCTTAATGATTCTACAAGTTTATTATCAATTTATTAAGTATTGTTAGTAGTATTCCTTGTTCTGAAATATGGCCGTTCCGAAATATTGATCTTATTTGATTATGTTTATCTAGCAGTGTAATAAAAAAGTAGCACTGTAAAGTTTCATACTCTGATTGAAGCATATCACAAAATCTATATAAACGATTTTCCTTTCCCATTCCAATTAAAAAAAAATCTAAAATATGCGGATGATACAGTCATTTTATCCGGGTCCTTAAATCCTCAAATTGCCATAAATGATCTTCTAGTGCATGTCAGTATCGTTTCAAAATGATGTAACATCTGAAAAATTAGCCTTAACACCTCTAAATGCTGTGTGTGCTACAATAAGACGTTACAGGACTACAGTGAGAGTGAACACCGACATCACAGTAAATGGTGAAATTATCCCTGTTGCAAATTCGTACAAATATTTAGGAGTTACTATTGACCGAAAACGCACCTTCAAAAATCATATCCATTCTGTACTAAACCATGCCAGTTCTACTTATATGGCCATTTATTGTTTAATCGGAAGAAAATAAAAACTGAATATTCGTGTAAAAAGAACATTTTACTTTTCCTTATTAGCCCTATTTTATTATATGCAGTTCGGGCTTGGTCCACTGCAAATAACATGGAAAAAGCCAAAATTAATGTCTTGTAGAACAAAATTCTAAGATCAATAGTAAACGCGCCTGGGCTTATGCGTAACTTCATCATCCACGAGGAATTAAAAATACATTATATCCATGACTAAATGTTAATTACTGCTCATAACATTTTCGAAAAAGCAAAGAACTCGCCTTATCCTATAATTAAAGAACTCACCGAATATGATCGTTCAATAGAATTTGCTGTAAAATGCCCAAGATCTATTCATCACAACGCACACTGGTGGTAACTGTAAACGTAAATTTATTTTTTATAAAATGCTTACCTAATTCAAACTCACATGCACAACTGCTTGCTTGACTTTGTCACTACTGTTTCGGGTGCCGTTGAGTGTAGTGCGTAGCACTTTAAGTTTTATAACTACCGTAAAAGTACTGTAGCACCTTAAGTTAACCGTACTACCGTAGCACCTTAAGTTTTATAACTACCGTTTTACGCTTTTGCAGCTAAGGATGATGGTTCAGTAAAACCATCGAAACTAGCAGTCCTGTGAACATTTGGAAACATAACCCTGATTTTTGAAAGGTCTTATGGAGCTTTTTAATTTACTGGCAAAAACTCAAAGTAGTTCATCCCAGCAGCAAAGTGATGACCCATGATCCAAGTATATCACAATTTTCTGCAGTATTTTGTCTTAACGAAAGCAAATTTCAGAGTCATCATTTTGCTCAGAAACATCGGACATTTTCCAAAACAGAGGGTAAATTCAGAGGTGTAAAACAAGCATTTCTCAATAACAGTTAATCTACTCAAGATTATTAGAATCTGGCGAATTTCCTCCAGGTATAATTACATCACTAAAATGCCATCTCACCCTTTTTCATCACTACTTAGTCTACTTAGTTATTCCTTACCGAACAACTAACTTTAATCTGTATCTCATTATGCAATAGCTTAGCTGAATTCCTTTTGCTCTTGGATATATGCAGTAATATTTACAAAAGTCAAATAATTTGAATTAGAATTTTTTATTGATTGTTTAATCATTAAGTTCACAACATGTAACTTAAAACGACTGCCTGGTTAACAAACTATCAACTATTTTTTTTTTCTTTTCTGTAATTCTTATTAAGGAAATGAACTGAAATGTTAAGCGATGCGTGCAGAAAATGCTTATTTTAATCTGATTTATGAAATGGGCTGCGTGAGGTCAATGTTTATAACTTTACCAAGCAAAATATTTGCATATCCTTAGATAAAAAAAAGATAAAACTTTATTTTAAATTCATGAAACTCCCTTATTATATCATTTTTGTAGCAAAAAAATAACATTCATTAAAAAAAAAAAAAAAAAAAAAAAAAAAAAAAAAAAAAAAAAAAACCCACTAGCCGCTTGTGCGCCCGTCCACCTAAAGAGTTTTTATAAAAAAGAAAAAAATAAATAATGAGTTCAGCTAGTGTCATTTCCTCTTTCCAACTAGTAATAAATAATAATAGAAATAAAAAACTCCGTTTAGTGTTTTTAAATCGCTTAGTTTGTTAATATTTAATGGACAGATTAAATTTGAAAGAAAATTAGCAACACGCTGGTGCTTGGAAGTTAAAAATATTTGATTTCGGGCTGTCGCAAAACATTTCTTTTGAATCGCTGAGTTTTCTGATTAAATTTGAAACATAAATGTTTTACACTTCACGTAGCAACATATAACTGAGTTTGGGACTTAAAATTATGTTCGTTCAAAACATAAAATAAATAAAAACAAGTCGGAAATTGAAAATTCGAAATTCAGCGTGCACATATCTGGGTACAAGAGTATGTATGCATAAAGTGTCATGTTTCAGCTATGTGAGAAATATGTATACAAACATTCATACAAATTCTTCATTATTGTAATAATAAAGAGATAAGTCATATTTTAAGTCTTTGCTATTATATGAGCTTGTGAAGAAGTTCAGTATTTGTCAATGCGGTGCACCTTATGAAAGTGCACTTTGCGGAACGCTTTAAGGAAACATTTCGAAAGGCACTGTTTATATTTTTATCGATATTTATGTGGCTTCTTTTATTCATCCTCATTCAAGATTCAGACATAGGTTTAAGTTACCTATGTTGAATTACATTGAAAGAATATATTTGAACTTATTAAGGTACACGTATAGGTTTAACCACCTATGTTTCAGATATTACGAAATTAAAGAGGACTAAAAATGCATTTTATGAAGTAGTTGTTGATAAAAGAATAAAAATAGTTGAAATACATGTTCCGTTCCGATTAATGAACAATCGTACTCATGGTTAAAGATCATAACTACATACTGAGTTTAATGAGCCAATATTTCCTTCCAGGCTTCTTACTAACTCTAGAATAAAAATATATATATATCCTAAATTGACAGGTTAATCCTATGTCAACATTCGAAGCTACTAACTATTCTACAAGGGGTACAGCCTAGGCTCAGGTACCCTGGTGTAGCAAGCACAGTTCCACAGGGAGGAGAATCAACCTAATACTGCCTTGCAATAAAAAGGAATTAGTTAAAACGAAAGGGATAAAGACCGCTGAACCAAAACAGGACTTTGTATACGCTTATATAGATGGTTCATTTGACAAGACAATCACTAAAGGAGGATATGAAGTATTTCTGACCACCCCAGGCGATACACGATACTACTTATCAACACAAAATTGGCTCTGGAGTCACAGTCTCTAATTTCACTTGCGAGCTCCTGGCAATAGCGGGGGCACTTGACGTGTTCCCATTTATGAGCAAGGAAAAGGACTCGTTGTCTTCTGTGACTCAAAAGCAATCTTAAGATTCCTGATCACCAGCGGGATCAGGAAGCTTCTATAACTTTCGCCTAAACGAAGTTAAGAAATAAGATAAGGTCAGTATTCTTCAATGGTTGCCAGCGCATATCAACATCATAGGTAACGAGAACTCAGATAAACTGGCAAAAGAGGCTCGAAATCTCAAAAATAAGCATAACGTAAATGTCATCCTCTAGGACGCAGATGCTATGGCTAAATACAGATTGAAGAAACACATAGTTCCAATAAAGCACCAGTTCCATAACATCAGTGCAAGTTGACTTATAACTAAAACCATAGTCAGGCTTAGAACTGGTAATCACAGATGATTGAAAATTGACTGAGAGGGTTGGAAAACCTACAAAACTGTGATAACTGCTCGGAAATAGAACTGACAACTGCACGCATTTTTGATTATTCGGCCCTCCTTGCTGAATGGTTTAAAACTGGTGTCTTGTTTTAAGAGACCGAACCTTTAAGATTATAGCATTTTGCAGATGCCTGCTGTCGTTTTTGCTCATGGCACTATTTGAATAGGCTTTATCATAGACAAGACAACAACAACAACCAACAACAGCAAAAGGTTTGCCCTTTTTTTTTTTTTTTTTCGTATTCTGTGTTTTTTAGGGTTCCTGCGTCTTATTTTTCTATATTGCACATGTTTGCATAAAAAAATATATATTAAAAATATTGATTTTTGAAATGCATTAAACAATTTTTGTGTTTTCAGCCTTATATGTGTAATTTGTTCCTTATTGCATGTTATAGTTTTTTAACTAATAAATGATTAATTATCAATTTAAAAATGTTAATAATTTTTCTTTTGTAATCAATGGGAACTGCATTATGCTACATTATGCCTTTACATATTCCCAAAAT